TTGCCGCCATTGTTTCATTGAATCTACTAATTACTTTGCTGTAGCAACAAATTAGCAAATCGGGGAACACTGTTCTGCTCTAACGTGCAAGTTAACGTGTCCTCTTAACGGGGAAAAAATTCATCTCACAAATCAGCGACAGATATTCTCGCACATAAGCAGGAATATTATAATCTTGTTGGAAGATTTTTACTCTCGATTCGATTGAATTTGTATCGATCACTTGCGCTCGATTCAAGACTAGAAGTTTCCGAAAAATATTACAGTGTTATAATATTCCTGTTCATATACGGGGCGTCCCAAATCGTAGTGCGCGAGTGGAACGGGTGGAAATTGAGCAGGAAGGTCAGCCGACGCGTCGCAAAACTCGCGATGGTTATTGGAGGAACGAATTATAAATGAGCGAGAAAATGGGCGAAGAGTGAATTTTCATGGTATTTTCTCGTATCTCGTGCTTTCGACGTTACCTCGACGATCATTTTGACGCAACCGTCACTTTCCGTTCTACCCGGGCTCGGTCGTCCATTGTCGGATGCAAAGCATCGTCGGCTGGCGTAGCCGAAGGCATTTTTCAGCGTGGCTGCCGTACACGGCGAAAACGATTATTCCACGACAACGTGGAGCCCACGTAGCCGCGGCGAGAAATTTCATACGATTGTACTCGGCCGGGTGTAAGATCACGCGCCGCTTGATTACGAGAGGCACTTCCACAGTCGCGATAGCGCCCGAGCGTGCGTGTATTATGCGTAGCCACGCCGTGCTCACGATTGTCGCGGAAAATAGGTCGCCGAGCTGCTGCGAGCGCGTCAGCGCGTGAAAGAGAAAAAAATGAAGACGAAGACGAGATGGGAATCGTACCGTCTACTTTCTTCCTCCTCTCTTCAGCCGAGCCGGACTTCGCGCGCGCTTCACCACGAGTTCGAAAGATCGCTCCAGAAATACATTTCGCCCGCGTCCGAGCTAGTTAAGGCAAATTCACGCCGCTTGTTTCTAAGATAATTCCTCCAGATGAATCACTCACTCGCGAGCATGACGCACTTGGACGGACCGCTGCGTGTCGGCCGTCGTCGATCAACCTGGTGAAAATCAACGTCGTTTCGTCGACGTTCGTGATTTTCCTTTTTCCTTTTTTTTTCTTCTTTTCAAGAGAGCGCCGCTGGCGGAACAGAGTCCTCCTGCCGTGGAAAATCCATAATTAGCCGTAGTTGTGATAATCTGATTGTAAATTATATGACGTAATCCCGATGAATTTAATGCCCGGCCTTAACCAGGCGTGAAACGAGACCGCCCAATAGTCGACGTGAATCATTCAGGATGAAAGGCTGTTTACGAGTCTCGCTGTGGACAATTTATTCCGGATGAACTCCGAAGTGCACTACAGTGTGCGGAGGATGTGTGACCTATATATATGTATTACATATCGCATTATATATATAGACATTACATATACTTTATACGTATATCGCAGTCGAGATTTATAGCGAAGGAAGATCCCCTCGCGATGATTAATTTTGGGAGATGTTTAAAATTACATAAAAACATCTCGCTAAATGTGCGAAACCGTCTGGAATATAACGCAAGCGGTGGAAGCATTGGGACGTGAATCCGCTCGAATCCGACCCAATCTTGTCATTCGAGGATTAACCCTCAAATGGCAGGGTGGAATTTTCAACGGATTATCCCGGAAAATGTGCTCGGATCCGACCCCGTGCTCTCTTACTCTCGTTTTTCACGCAACCGACGTACGAAATGGGCAAAATAAGTAAACAATATTATGAAGCATTCCTTAAGAAGAGAAATAGCGCGTGCGCGCTGCAAAAAGTCGCGGGGTCAGTCCGAGCCCACCTTACTATCAGACAATTAACCGCGAAACTTCGACGAAACATTCTATAAATTCCTCGCATAAATCTTGCATGGATGAGAAAACAGGCATTTCGGTTCGAGACGAATTTCCGCAAGAATGCCAGCATTTACGTATTACCGTCGATGCGACTTATACCGGGGGAAATGTCAATTTTCACAGGGAAAAGGGAAGAAAAGCGAGCGCTAAAGCGCAACGTGTGAAAATCACGGCCGGCTTCGTCGTTCCCTTCGTTCCCGCTGAACGGGCTTTTCGGCCGGAATCTTCGGAATCGTCGGAACGCGAGTTAAAGGCGCGCGCGACTCTCGAGTGTGCGGAGTCCTCGTGTGTTCGTTGGAAGCGCGACGATGATCGCCGGGCTGCAATAAAAGTACGTGAGACCGTGGTACGCGAAGTGGGTCAGAGTGCCGGCTGTGCTCGGTGTCTTTTCGACATCGGACGAAATGGGTCAGCGCCGGAAACGATGTCGAAACGAATCTCGCGCGTCTAGCCGCGCGCGCTTTCTTCGCGACCTTCCTCTCCTCGTCTATAAATACGCACTCGGCTGTGTACGCACGCAAGGCGAGCGAGCGAGCGAGCGCGCGCACACGTGTGTCGCGCGGACGCGCGCGCGAGCTTACGGCCGTAAGCGGTGCGGACGGTTTGTGCAACTACGATCATTCGGGAAATAGGTCGGCGACAAACACGATAGTTAACGCACTTTCGACAGCTGCGGTGTTACCACGACGATCTTCTGTGCAATGCAAAGACCGAGCCCCCCACGAAATTTAGAGTAACACGCGTACACACACACACACACACACACACCGCTGTGCCTGGGGACACGAGTTTCGTACGGAGCGTGCGTAGACGGCTTGATGAGAGTAGCCTATTTTAGAATGAATGCCTTCAGCCACGGCGGGAAAGAGAGAGAGAGGGGGAGACGCTGATAATATATTAATGATATCATTTATACGGCCGGTGCGAAGGAGAAACAGCCGAGCCAGACCGATGGCTTTATTTCATCCGCTTGCGCTCGATGATAAATGAATCTCCGTTAATCGCGGAATAATAGAGGATTATCACCATTTAACGCGAACGGTGCGCGCAAGCGCGGCCCGTCCGCGAATATATTTATATTAGAGCGGGAATAGAATAGAAATACGTATGCGTGTGTGTATTCTTCTCTATTCGGAACGCCCAAGAGAATTTCATTTCGTAATTCCTCAGATTTTCACCGAGATCCTCCGGGAGGGATGAGGAGGGAAGACGCGAGGTAAAAATGTTACAACGAGCGATCCTCGCGGGAGCGACTTCCTCGAGACGGACTCGCACACGCGTCGCTGCAAAAATGTCCTCTTCGGCCACTTAGAAAGTCGCGGCGCCGCGTCGTCGACAGTTCTACATTTCGCGGCGACGAAGCGGGAAGAGCGCGATATTGTTTTCCCCTTTCGAACATCGTTGCACGCCACTCGGGTGATATTATTAGTGACCCGTCTGGATGATTGCTCGGCTCAGCTGCCTCTGCCAAACGGTCATACGGTCTAGGCGCTTTCTTCCCGACCTTCCCCGTCTATAAATAAGCGAGTGCGAGAGCTTACGCGAGTGCGTTTATGCAATTGTGCGACGGGAAAATAGGTCAGGCGATGGTGCGCGATCCTATTTCGTTTTTCTCCATCGACCTCGCGCGCGCCTCTCCTCCCTTCGCTTTTTCGCTTCTTCGTTTCCGGCGATTCTCGATTTCCGCGGCCGAAACGTACGTTCTCAGTCGGATTCCCCGCGGCGGAAGCTCGACGATCGCTCGTTGCGGTTTCGCAAGTCGTCAGGTGTATCCACGCAACGCGCCTCCCGTGTATCTTATCGAGGAAAAAGGACTTAGACTTCCATTTGTGAGATATGAAGTCTCACTTGACGGAGCGGAAGGTTTATTTAAATATGAAATGTCATTTGATTCCCCGGCGAATAAACCAATTGACGAGAAAAGTCAGATTTATTTCACGGAAATATACGTTCCGCCAGCACCGTCGGATTTTCTTCCAACCGATAAATATCGCAGGGATCACGAGGGATATTTACTTGGCGAAATTTTCCTTGAATAAGCGTTTCCGCGTATTTTCATTTAAACAAACGTTTATCTACGTGAAGTAAACCTCGTACTTCGCGAATAAACTTTTAAGTCTTTCAGCGCCAATACAGATATTTTTTTTGCGTTACGGGGGAATTTATCCACGATCGCTTCGTTCAATTAAAAAAATTGTTTTCTCTCACTCGATGATAATTTTCTCAGAACGGTATCTGCACTGGAAGAAAAAAAGGTGGCCGCATTGAAGTAAATATTTGCTAAGGAGTATTGGAATAATCGTTTTACCTGGATCGAGCGAATATTACTCGGATACAAGAATTGTTTTCAGCGTGCCGCATTCAAATAATGTTTACTTAATCCGAGCGAAATAATTGCTCCAACGTTCCATATATGTTCACTTGAGCGTCGGGCTTCTTTCTTACCTAACATATCTAACTGTGACGCGAGATTTCAAGAGACGAACCGGTCGGTAGGAAGAAACGGATCGGCGATGATCCGCGAACCGGGGAAAATTGGGGTCGCAACGTGCTTTCTTCTTGGCCTTCCACCTTCCTTGACTTCCACTTGTACTTCATCTTCGTCGTTTCTATAAATAGTGGCTTGATCGCGCGCTTACTCTTACGTGCCGACTGCGTGAACCGAGGGACACGCGTATTCACGCACTGTGCGCGGTTGCGACACTCCGCCTGATTACGACAGGGCCGTACGCACAATGTCCGTGGGAAGAAGCCGCTCCTCCTCACTTACGCCGTCGTGCTTTCCCTCTTTCTTCGTACTTTCCGACTTTCCTCTTCAAGTTGCAGCAAGCGATACTTAATATATATGTGTGAAATATCTGAATATATGTATGTGACCGATTTTGAGCATACACGGAGAAAAGGAGACTTGAAAACTTACTTGTGACGTATAAGGTTTATTTCACAGGAATAAACGTTTATTCAAATACGGCGGAATAAAATTATTATTATTCCTAGCAAATGAACCAATTAATGAGAAAGCTTAAAGTATATTTCGCAAAAATATGCATTCCGTCATCACAAATTTGGCTTTATTTATTTCGCAAAAATTTCAATTTCTTCTTCCCAGTGCATTCGTTTCCGACTGGAGCGGCAACCAGTTATTTCAAGATTACAGATGCGTGGAAAATCGCTTTCTTCACTTCCTGCTGAAACCAAATAATCTCACAAAGGCCGCGAGACACCGTCGTGCGATACCCGATGACTCAATGGAGCGATTAAGATCCTTCGGTCTCTGTAAATAGGACTCGTTGCACATTTTCAGAAAATGGGACGCCGTCTAATTGTAATTGGCATCAGCAATGACGGAAGCCACGGCTAGCACAACAAGCGTTCCTTTCAGTAATGCCGGTTAATTCGAGAGAGCAGCGTGTGATGCAAAACGTTAGGGCCTTCGCCGTACAGATCGTCGTAACCGTAAACGCGAGACGTAAATTTAACGCAACAAACGCGTTAAACGATGATCAACATCTTATTAACATTAATGCAACCTTGTTAATATTTTCTATCGAAGGCGGTCACGAGAATTCGTCATCGATAGATTTTCCCGTACTTGCCGACAGAACTGAAAACCGGGATATAAGATGCCTTTAAGACGTCTTAAAGGTATCTTAAAGACGTCTCACTTGAAGATTTTAGGTTTTAGATGTTGGGTTGTTTTTAATCAATTTCACACCTTGGCCTCCGCGAGATTGATATTTTTCGGAAACAGATCGAGGCGTAAATTGAAGTCAACGCTTCGACGGTGAGGATCGCTTTGTACGGCGAGACGGTTCTCGCCTCGCGCAAATTTGATTTGACTTTTTGCGAGGGCTGACTCGCGGGATAAAGGAGCACTTATGCCCCGATCAGACTAACGAAACAAGGTTAGCTCATGTCTCACCGTATTTTGCGATCGCAAGTAACACCCGCAGTAGCGCGGCCCGAAGAGTGTCGCGTATGACGCATTTAGAAGCCATGCTCCCGTTTCGAGCCGAGAGAGTTAAGGTCGGCCTCGGAGAGCTCCCGCGTCTCCTCGACCTCCCAGATATACAACTGCGGACGCACCCCCGGCTAAGGGCCTTTGCACACAAATTGCCGTAGGACCCTAAACGTAAGACGTAATAAAGTGAAAAATAAAGCAGGATTTGCGTAAGGTCGGCGCACGCTTTAAGAGGAGATACGAGTTACGAATTTCGCTGAAAGCACGAGTAATTACACAGTAAAGAAGCATTTTGTACTTGCATTCAAATCGGTTATAATTTGTCGTGTTATATTTTCAACACACTCGTGCGTTAATTTAACATAACCTTGCGTTAAATTAACAGAGAAAATTTTGCGCTGACCGTGCGGGACATGCGAAGTGTGTTAAATTTCGAACGCATCTGTGTGTGTGTGATATTTTATTAAATGTTATTAAACATAACGCCGAAGATTTCAGTAACTTCGGTAATGGATGCGGAAAAGAAAAACTATAAAATAACAGTCTTCATAAACATGAGAAATAAATTTTCTGGAGACTTATGATTACATAAATTTCCACCCACTTCTGACAATTTTGTACTTTATTTATGTCGAATTAATAATCATAATGAGACAATACCTGTCGAAAATGGCCAGATATATTTGTATGAAACGAAACACGCCTTACGGCGAAGGAGGGGGAGCTTTCTTGGCTTGCGGCGGTCGCCGCTTCCGATCAATTAATAATTTGGACCGAAACCAAAAACCAAATCGAAACCATTATTTTTAGTAATCGGAGTCGAACGATCCCCGTTCGTCGGCCTCGGATTCAGAGTGCTAACGAAGCTGTCGTTCTTCCAAAATCCCTTCTCCCCCCCCCGTCGTCGGTGCGATCATCATCAGCGAAATCTCAAGGTACAAGTCGGAGTTAGCGCTGGCAGCAAGTATGTAATAAGAGTGGCCACTATTATTTCGACACGGTTCTCTCGGCCTTCTCCTCTCCTCCCTCTCGTACGGACCCCGGTCGGCGGCTTACGTAATTTTCTCAACTGCCGGAGTGCCGTGAGTGCCGGCGAGACGAAATTGAAAGTAAAGTGTAACCAAACGTTCCCCGAGCGGCGTGAGTCGCCGCCGTTGAAAGACGATGAGGAGCGCGACGACGAGTAAAGGGGACGGGGTAGAAGCTCGGCGAAGGTGGCCCGCTAGATGAGAAAAGAGAAGGAGGAAGGCTTCCTGCCCCCCCTCCTCCCCCTTCACTCGGGAGGAAGTGACCGTCGGAGGAAACGACACTCTCCTTTCGAGCCGAGCTCGACGAAGCGCGGAGGTGGCGCGTTAACGCTTGTTTTTGCCTGCCGGTGTCATTAGATCTGGAAGTTAATTAACCCCGGCGCGCCACCGCGCGTCTTTCTCCCTTCCTGAGAGAACGGAATCTCAATCTTTCGCGTGCCGCTTCCTTGGTGATCGCCGGACACTCGGGGAATTCTCGAGAGATATCTTTGCACGCTGAAGAAGAAAGGAAGAGAAGGAAGAGAAAAGTCGCCACGTTCAAGTAAACGTTTACTAAGTGTCGGAGCATCGATTGATTTTGTTTGGATCAAATGAACGTTACTTGAATGTGGCACTTTTCCACCCCCCCCCCCCCCCCCCCNCCCAGTCATATCCCCTACATTCGAGTGGTAACGTTCGAGATATCAGTGGTATCGATTTTGATTCCATCGCCGCAACGTGCTGTTTGCTCACTTTCGCGCGGGATGTATCGGGCGTGTACATCAGGCGCGAGTCTCGTTGTTCTTACCTCCTTACCTCGAGGCGGTGAAATGGGAGCAAGGTCCGGGGAGTTAGGAAGAGACTGCTAAAGAGCAATAAGTGGCTTTTAGCCAAGCGGCTGGCTAAGTGACTCGCGGGAATACAGATCGGCCCGCGAATTGTGGATTCGACCCGAGAGGGCGCATCGCCTCTCGCGAATTTTCTCACCGACTCACCTCGAATCAGGTATACGTTGTTACGCTCCGGAGATGAAAATTCTCGCCACACTCCCTCGAATTCAGAGACGAGCTCGGAATGATCGTTCATTATCGTACCGTATTCGCAACTTCGCGCGTGGGGGAAGAAACGAACACGCAGAAAAGACGCGCTGGAAATCGAGTAAACGTAGTTACACGTTTCTCGGCCTTTTAAATCAAACGTTTGAGTATATCTCAGCGGTTTATAGTATCAATACTTACTAAACGATAACATCTTAATCGGTAAGTAAATTGTTGAATGCTTTTACATTTCTGAGAATGTTTACTAGAATTATGTAATACCTCTTTGCCATGGAAGAAATCTTGCGCTTATAGATTTAGATTCGTTCGGTCAATATTCTCTACAGACTCACCATTAAGGAAGTTTTCCACGTGGCCAGAGAGTCGTCCCGATGGAATAAAGCGTCCCTTTTGATCGATCAGTTCTGAGCGTTTTTCCCCCAATGGTTTCCTTCAGTCGGTCCAATTGGGCACCGTCTGAATCAGGCCGCACGTTCTTTGGAAGGAGCTCATAATATTACCACACCTTTCCGGTCCCACCAAATGCCGTAGCATTACCTTCTCCGGATGAAGCCCGGCCTTTGAAATCTCTCACGTGTATCGTTGATCAAAGTCTTCATTCGCTCGTTATCAGCGACAACCGGTCGGCCAGAACGCTCCTCATCTTCGAGTGTCTTATCACCAGCACGAAACTTCGTAAACCGTCTCTGACACAACGATTCTGTTACGGTATCCTCTCCATACACGGAACATACTTTCATTTTCGTTTGCGTGGCGCAAAAAGTGACTTATCACTCGATTCTTAAGTGTAGCAAGCGTTGTGAAAAATACCGTCCCCTTCCCGGTACTCGAATCCGGAGCTCCCCACTTTCCCGGGCGGGACGGCGCACAATTTTCACCAATCGATATTTTTCCGTGACGTCCGAGAGTCGGCTGGGTTTCTTACCTGGGCAGCCGAAGTACCGCCCGCGAAAAGCGACACGGATTTTGCCTGAGGCACCAAAGAGATCCCACCTCTAGCCGATCGCAGAGCGACATTGGCTTAACCTTGCATCCTTTTGTTTGACTTACGAACCCAAACGTCGCGTGGAATAATGCCTCGATGGCCGAACTGGTGAGGCTCGAATCCTGGAGGCGGTATTTTTCGTAACGCCTACTATGCGTGAAAATCGATCGACAAGTCACTTTTGGGGATATTGAAATGATTGCTATTAATTCCTCATTAATCATTGGGAATTTTGCAAAATGGTGCACGACTTTTCCGCTCAGTTTCACCCGTTCCACCTGTTCCACACCGCGGGAACCGAGAAAGGGATGTCTTGCTGTAAATTCGTCTTCTTTTAGCAGAAAAAATTATGCTATTATGATATGAGACTGTTCCGTCGAGCTGAATGAACATAAGGTCGCGCGACAAAAGCTTCCTAAAGTCAGACTTCACCGGCCTATTTTCTCAACATGCAGTTTCACCTTTGTTCCGTTGATGCCAACGAAATGCATATATACGCGTCATATATACACGTCGAAGGTCAAATTCTTTTTTGTCTGTCTGAAGGACAATAAAAAAAAAAAGAAAGAGTATTCTCGTTTCGACGTTTATTAGCGCAAAAACATATTCGTAGGAAAGAATCGAGAGCCGAAAGGCAAAAAAGAAAAAAATAGTCTCGAGTGACGTAATGATTCTGTCCCTTTCCTCGGAAATGACGGCCGGGTCTTCCTGTGGAAAGACGAGACGAATGGGAGATGGTGAATCTCTGCGGAGACTCTGCCGAGCCGTCTCCTAAAACACCCGCCCGGCGCAACAACGGAGAGAGACTCGATAACCACTTCCTTCCGAAACTTCCGTCAAAAACGACAACAAAGGCCGAGGGAAAACAGAAAGGAAGGTTGTAAGGAAAAAGAACCATCAATTTGAACGATTTTTAACATTCTGTATTGTATTGTAATTTCGAGCCGACCGCGCTTGTAAAGTCTTCTGTGTTATCATAATGCCATGGTCACGTTCAACCTCACGTTAGTCCTTGAGGGAGTAGTCGGCGGGGCGGAGGAGAGAAAAGGGCTCGATGGGGTTTTTCTTCTTTCAGCCGCCCGCCTGATTTCTTCTTCCGCTTCCGAGAGAACCTCGCGCACCTCAGGATTTCAGCTTCTCAGCGATCGGCTACGTGTGTGCAATACGTTTTTCCGCGTTTAGTTTTATCGGCAACCTTGGTCTCGCCGGCTCGTAAGATGCCAATCGCTTCTTACGGTTCTCCCGCGTGAATGATTTACACCTTCTTCTCTTTGCATATCCATACGTTGCGTAACGCGGCGCGATACGATTTTGAAAGAGAGGGAGGCATTTGCGATTTGCGAGAGAGGCGGACGGACGGGGGAAGGGAAAAGGGGAGCGAGACACTGTCGTATTTTCAGGTCGTATCTTAAGATCTCCGAAAGCCCGAGAAATTCAATCTTCCCCGCGAGAAATATCGGCTGTCGTCGCAGCGCGTCGTCCATAATTCCGCTTATTAACGTTGCAGCCTGCGAAGTCTCCCCCCCCCCCCNGCCGTTAGTTGTCTAATATTTGCCGGTTTTGCATCCAATTGTGCTGCGACGGGGCGTTACATAAGCGAACTGTGATCGGGTGTGAAAAAAATCCGTCGTCCCCCGCGTCCCCCTCCGTGCGCGCGCGTTTTACTTCTCGCGCGCTCTTTGTCGCTCGTCTCTCTTCAACGGTTGTGCCACAGCCGTCGTTTATGGCTGCGTCTAAGTTGGCCGAGGCTACATTTTACGGCGTTTCTGTCTCAGATGGTTCTTCGGTATCTACGCTTCGTTTCTCCTATCTGTTTGTTTCCAAGGCTGTAACTTTGTCGCGCGCGCGCGCTGCGCGTTCTTAAAATGTATGTGCCGTCCGACCCTTCTTCCTCCTTCGTTTCTGCCCGCGCGATACGTTTCTACACACGCCGGTCCGTGTGACTCAACCATGGATCCTTGCCGGAACGGTGTCATTTAATAGCTCAATTAAACGCTCTTAATTGCTTATGATGTCAAAAAAATGCCGTCGCGCCACGTATCTCCGCAGAGTCGTTAAGCTCCCGCCTCTTTGCAATCGTTGAAGTGTTGCCTCGGCTTAACCCTTTAAGGCACA